ACAGGGCAGACTTCACAATGAAATTCTTAAAAAAGCATGTCATTTTCAAAGATGAAGGGTAGAGAAAAATGCCACTGAAATCTTAGTAGAGGAATTCTGACTTGCTTCCTTTCTTTTGTAACCAGAAGGCAAATTGTATATAAAATGAAGCGATGTTAGCTCAGAGCATCAAGCATCCCTGGGTAGTCCAAAGATCACCCTGAACCCTAAAGAACCTTGCCACGGCACTTCGGCACTTCTCAGGATACGTTGCAGCTCCTGAGTGGAGAGGCTTGTAGCCCAGGAGGTATTTGGAGGAGGTAAGAAGGTGGCATCGGAGAACTGAAGTACTGAGGTCTGTAATGTAAAAGTAAAAGCAACTACTGAGCCAGTGGATTGCTGCAATGTAGATTAATGCGGAGCAGGGCGGGTAATGATTCAACTCAGGGACTCTTATTTAGTAATAAGAACAACGTCTGATCAATTTCTCTGGGTTCCACCCTTAGCCAAACCATCAGCTAGATCCTTCTCATGGTCTCCCTCATCATCTTACTTCAGACAATTTTGCTCACACTACAGACATGCTAAGTCATATTTGTTGACTTCTCTGTATAAAATCTTCCAAGGTGGTTTAATAAGATGCTCTGAATAAAATGTATACTTCATTCCATGGGCCTGGCTATCTCTCTGACCTCATTCTTACCATTTCCTCTACTTGCCTGAATCCAATCATCAGCGTGTCCCCAACTTGCTGCTGCTTTAGAAGATAGCTGTGATGTTCCCTCTGCCAGGAAGAGCTCTCAGATTGTCACTGGGCCGGCTTTCTTGATATTCAGGGACATGCTCAGAGAGACCTTCTTCAACCATCCCATTTGAAGAGTAGCCCCAGCCACTTACTGTCACGCTACCGTGTCGTATTTTCCTAATGTCAGTCTTCACTACTGGAAATGATCTTACTCATGTGCTTGTTCATAGTTGCTTTCACTCTCTAGAATGCAAATTCTAGGATAGCAAGAACCTTGTGTCTCTTATGATACAGAGTCCCTAAGGTATATAATAATGCCAAGCAGAGAGTAGGCACTCAAACATTTAAGTAAAATGAATGTAATTCATTCATCAGATCACTGGCAAGTAAAGTAGATGCTCTGAAAATCATGAAAACAGACTACTGCCCGATGTATGTTACATAATACCCTTTTTAAAAATCTTAATATAGTACAGAGGAACTTAATACTCAGAAGTAACAAAATTTCCCTCTTGCCGGCTCCCAAAACTTCATTTCTCCTCCAGACTTTGATAAGTTTTAGTTTTCTTCAATTTTAATTATTAAGAGTGAAATGTCTTTTAAAGGCATTATTTCGGGCAGCCCCGGTGGCTTAGGGTTTAGCGCCGCCTTCCGCCCAGGGCGTGATACTGGAGACCCAGGATCGAGACCCATGTCAGGCTCCCTGCATGGAGCCTGCTTCTCCCTCTGCCTGTTTCTTTCTCTCTGTTCCTAATAAATAAATTAAAAATCTTTAAAAATAAATAAATAAATGCATTATTTCTAGCCCTGTCCCCTCCTTCCTGTGAATTCTACGTGCCACTATGCATTCCAACACTGCTACTTCAATTTCTGCCAATCACCTCAAATTTAGCATATGAAAATCTGAAATTAGTTATCTCTCAGGCAAAATCAGCTTCTGCTTCTATCCTAATAACTTTCTCAACCATCCTCCAGATAGCTGGATTTAAAAGCTAGAAATTATCTTGATTATGAAGTTCAACAACTGCAAGGGAGATTGGAAAAGTGGTCTTGAAGACTTTTTTTAAACCATGTTATCCTTTTTTCAAACAAAAGCTCACAGGGAAGTCTGATATGTAAAACAGATGAATATGCAGTTGTTCTGGGAGTTAAACCAGTGGTCTCTGAAGAAAAACTTCAAAAAGCGCCCCTAATCTGGTCCAAACTTCCTTTCTTCTTTCCCTCCACACCCCCCTCTCCCGCCCCCCCCCCCCCCGGCCATTCAACACATGTACAAAAATTTATAGAGGAGAAAATTTAATCCAGAGAATTTGAGTCTTTTCAGGTAGAAATAAAAAGGCTGCCCAAGATGACACAGCCCCCCGCCAAACAACGCTTAGTGTACATGCACTTAGAAATCAGTGCTCTAAAAGACAAACATGACCTCCATGACTACGTGTAACCAATGATTACCAGTTATTGCAAAATGGGAAGTTTCAGGCATGACTTTATGGGTCAGCGTGGGAAGAAACCTTCAGAGTTTAGATAGTAATTGTTAGCTCCCCGTAATAGATTTCTCCACTTCTAGTAAAAGAAGGCAAGCAGGAGTCCAGGGGAAAGGACTGTGGCCTCATTGTCTACTGCTGAACAAGGTTTTCAAATGGTCTAGGCCTCATCCTCTCCATCTTTAATAGGGATGTGTGTGAGGAGATGCCCTCTAGGCCCCTTTCATCCCTCAGTCCGTGCTCTATTACACTACACTGTAGTATTTCCCTTGAGCTACTACACCTGCAGAGAATCAGCGGCACAAGTTACAGACAGATCATCCCTCAAGAATTTTTTGACTATCTATCCTAGAGTACTGCACTGGGCAACTGAAATGGCAGAGAAAGAAAGAAATGGGACACTATCTTACCTCAAGGAAAAAGACAGCCCAGCGGGGAAAGCCAAGCAAGTAACCAGACAGCAGAGAGGTAAACACAGAGAGAGGTGTGCACGGAAGCCGGAGAAGCAGAAACGAGGGGGCATATGAAAAGGAGGAAAGGCGTTGCCAGGTTGGAGTGAGTGACAGTGAACTTTAGATTTGGATGATAAATCTGAGCTGAATACCGGAGGGTCCTATATATGCCAAAAGAGATCACATTCTAAATTACCTTACACATTTAAATAATAAAATCAACATTTACTGTAATAAAAATATTTTATCAGGCCATCTGACACACTTTTCAAAGTTTATGAGGAAAAAATTAAGTCAATTTCCTCTTAATAAATATTATTTAATGACTGGAACATTCTGAGGGACATACATGAACACGTCATGAGTAGAGGCGGCACGTCACTCAGGGACAATTATCTAACAGAGAATTCAGACAACCCTGCCCAGGCTAAATACTGTGCAGCACCTGGCAGACAAGGTGGCAAAGCCCCTATAAATAGTGATGATTCACTAACGTGACATAAATCAGGATTTTAACTCACCAAAAGCTAACATTTTGATTTAAAATCCCAAATCAGTGCCATTAAAATTCATCAGGAGACCCTAGCACATGAGTAATGAGATCATATCAACTTCTATCTCGTGACCAAGAGGAAAAGGTGGTTTTCTAAATGGTATTTGAGATTGGACAAGTAACACACTGTATCAAGTTTTGTAGCCCCAGGCCATGTTTTGCTAAAAACAAAGGTACATTATGCATGACTAAAGAAAACAGTGAAAATCAGAGCAATTAATTTCCCAGCTATGTTTCCCATAAAAAAAAAACCATCACTACTATGATTTGCTTACAGAACACAACCTTTTTTTGCATCACACAATGATCTAAGTGTGTAATAACTTGCGTATTTCACTAAGATGTAATATCCTTCAAAACGTCCTTATAGTGAAAGTTTTCCAAAGAAATCATTGATCTCTGGAATGTCTCATGTTTTAAAATCACTGACAAATCCTTTCCTATTTTCTTTGCAGTTAAAAATAATTCTTCCTGATCACTGGAGTGTAAAGAGGCACAAGACTACAAAGACCGAATATTTTCTTAAAAACAAATGTCCCAGTTGACAAAGGACATTTCTCATAATTTTCTCAAGACGATAATTAGGCGAGTTGTCCCTAGGATCCTAAAAACATACAGTAAGAAACACAGATATTAGCCAGCATCAGTTTAGAGCAGCAAGAAATGTCCATAAATGCTCTTTCAAATTATTTTCAAATACTTTGCAGCTGACTCCTCTCATTATTGGAGGCTTTTGTGTTTGTTTCCACAATTCAGAAACCTTGCTCAGGTGGCTCTGCTTCACTGCAGATACGTCTAGGTACGGTCTCCTCCTGTGTTGGAGGCCCCTGGGCAGCTCTCTTCTTCTGCTTCCTTTCACTGGCACCTCTAGGCTGCTCCGTCACTGACCTCACCTTGGTGGAAAGGTGACTGAGAAAAGAGCAATTCCTAGGAACTCAGGGAAACCACGGAGTTCTCACTCAGTGAAGAACCAACACGAAGGACCCAGAGGCCAGCGGGACTGGGCAGGGCACCGCGGGGGGCAGCTTCCGGAGGGTCCTCTCCCGGGCCGGGCCCTCAGCGCCGCGAGGGACAGACAGAAAGACGGGGCCCGACAGACACGGCCGCGGGCCGACTGACGCACGCTGCGAGCGGGGGGCGAAGAAGGGGAGACACGGTGAGCCGCGCCGCCGCCGCCGAGAGCCTGCAAGTGAGAGTCCGCGAAAGTGGAGGAGACGGCGGGGGGAGGGGGGGGGCGGGGACGGGACGAGGACCGGGACGGGGACGGGGACGGAGACGGGGGTGGGGGTGGGGGGCGGGGAGCGGGAGACACACGCGCAGGGGCAGGTCGAGGCGAAGCCACTGGACACTAGCAGGGGCAGCGGCGCCGACGCGGGGCCAAGCGCGAGCCCCCGGGCCGCCCGCCGCGCCTCTCCCGCCGCCACGCGGAGTCCCCGGAGGCTGCCGAGGCAGGTGGCTGCGCCCGCGGGGCCCCCCCGCCCCCGCCCCCGCGCTCCCGGGCCGCCCGCCGCCCGCCGCATCCCTCGGGGCGCCGGTGCCCCCGCCGCGGCGCGCGTCCCGCCAAGCCCCGAGCACGTGTGCCGCCCGCAGCCCCTGCGCCTGCCGCCCCGCACGAGGTCTCGGCTCCGGCCGCGCGCGCCTCGCGCACAAAGCCCGGGAGCCCCCGCTCCCCGCTCCCCGCTCCCCGCTCCCCGCAGCCGCCCCGGGGCTCCGCCGCCGGCGCCGGCTCCGCTGCCTCCCGCTCGCCGAGCCCCGCGCGCCCGCCCGCCCGCCCGCCCGCGCCTTACCCGCCGCCGAGCTCCGGGCCCCGGCGTCCCGAGCGCCGCCGTCCCCGCAGCTCCGCCGGGCGCCCCGCGCAGGCCCCGCGCCGGGCCGCACCGTCCACCTCCGGCAGCCGCGGCCGCTCTGCCGCTCTGCCCCCGCCGCCGCCGCCGCGGGACTTTTTTTTTTTTTTTTCCCTCGCTCCTCCGCTGCCTCTGGATTTTTTTTTTTCACTTGCCCTCTCCAGCTCCCACTAGTGATTGGAGACTGAGAGCCAAGTACTTAGCGGAGGGATTACAGCCCGCGACGCGCTTGGAGCCGCCCCAGCTGCGCGGCCCGGGGGAGCGGACCCGGGGACGACGGGGCCGACCCGGGGGCCCGCGCTTCACGCCTCCGCGGCCCCGCACCGCCGCGCGCCCCGCACCGCCCCGCACCGCCGCGCGCCCCGCACCGCCCCGCACCGCCGCGCGCCCCGCACCGCCCCGCAGCGCCCCGCACCGCCCTGCGCCCTGCACCGCCGCGCGCCCCGCACCGCCCCGCGCGCCCCGCACCACCGCCCCGCACCGCCGCGCGCCCCGCACCGCCCCGCGCCGCCCCGCGCGCCCCGCACCACCGCCCCGCACCACGCCCCGCAGCGCCCCGCACCGCCCTGCGCCCCGCACCGCCGCGCGCCCCGCACCGCCGCGCGCCCCGCACCGCCCCGCGCGCCCCGCACCACCGCCCCGCACCGCCGCGCGCCCCGCACCGCCCCGCACCGCCCCGCGCGCCCCGCACCACCGCCCCGCACCACGCCCCGCAGCGCCCCGCACCGCCCCGCACCGCCGCGCGCCCCGCACCGCCCCGCGCGCCCCGCACCGCCGCCCCGCACCACGCCCCGCAGCGCCCCGCACCGCCCTGCGCCCCGCACCGCCGCGCGCCCCGCACCGCCCCGCGCGCCCCGCACCGCCGCCCCGCACCGCCCCGCGCCCCGCACCACCGCACGCCCCGCACCTCCCCGCACCGCCGCGCGCCCCGCACCACCGCACGCCCCGCGCCGCCCCGCGCCGCCCCGCGCCCGCACCGCACCACCGCACGCCCCGCACCGCCCCGCGCCCCGCACCGCACCACCGCACGCCCCGCGCCCCGCACCGCACCGCCGCGCGCCCCGCGCCCCGCACCGCCCCGCGCCCCGCACCGCTCCGCACCGCCCCGCGCCCCGCACCGCACCACCGTACGCCCCGCCCCGCACCGCCCCGCGCCCCGCACCACCGCGCGCCCCGCACCGCCCCGCACCGCGCCCCGCACCGCACCACCGCACGCCCCGCACCGCCCTGCGCGGTCCGCACCACCCCGCGGCCACCCCCTCGCTCGGGGCACGCGGCAAGTCTCAAGAAAAAAGAGTAGGTTAGAGGACCGAGGATTCGTGGAGTTACTGGACGTGGGGAGCCGAAAAGGGCTCCCAAGGATAATCCGGGGCCGTAGATTGGAACCTCTCAGGGCCATTGCCACTTTTGAGAAGTTGATAAAATGCTGACGCACCTCCAAAAAAAAAAAAAAAAAAAAAGAAGAAGGAGAAGAAGAAAAAGAAGAAAATACACATGCACGTCAGGTTGCGTGTCTGCTGGTCTGGGAGGGGGGTTAGAAACTCTGAAACATACAGCTGGATCTCCTAGGGAGAGGAAACCGTTCCTCTCCTCGAATGTTTTGCAACTGGTTGAATGAATGAATGAATGAACGAATGAATGAATGAATGAATTCCTTTGGAAAAAATAAAGCAAGCCTTCCGTTCATATTTGATGAAATTTTACAATTAGTAGTGTTTATTCTGGAAAAGTATGTAACCTCTTTGTGGTCTCCTTGCTAAAATTTGCAGCGTTGAAATATTTTCTAAGGAAGTAAATATAAATTAAGCTAGTCTGCAGTCTTTCAGGAGACTTGGAAAGAAGAGTTAAAACTTTTTAAAATCAGCTGTTTTGCCAACTCTATCTCCCAGGGGGTATCTTGTGACTTTTTTTTTTTTTTTTTTTTTTTTGCCTCCCGATGCCTTTCAGCTGCCTATTCTCAGAATTCATTACTGTTTTTTTTAATCCATTTTCTAAATAAACTGATAACTCCTCCCTAATCACCGAAGGTGTGATTTAAATGACTTAATGCAATTGCACTCTGACCTAGATTTTCTCCAATGTTCTTCACCTCTGTCTCTATTCCTGATTTAATTCTTGGCCACCCTTTTTCTTTCAACTCCTCCCTTTTCTAAAATTATTCCCATTACTTTTTTTTCATGTTGGACATTAAATATAATCCTCTGAATTCATCAATAATTCAATTGTGTATAAATTTATTTTGCAAAGCTCCCACTGAAGAACAGGTGGCCCTCCAGGCACTTGTTGATGTGCTTGTGAAATGTGGGCACACTTCCCCCAAAGAAATATTAGGATCCCCAAGAAAGTGTGTTTGCCCCGTAATGTGCCTGAACCATAATATTACTGTGACTGAACTGAATTCTGGTGGCCTGGTGCCAGACTGGAAGAAGAAATTTCTGTTTAACACTAGAAAATATAAACCCTCGTGTGTTTGCAAAAAAAAAAAAAAAAAAAAAAAAAAAAAAAAAAACCAGAAAATATTCAAAACAGGCAGCATTTGTCATTGGCATCATTTTGCCTTCTGTACCCAACCTTCATAACCCAGTCCCTCCAAGTACCATCCTAGTACCCAAGAATCTCCAGGTAGAAACCTCCTCACCTCAAGTTCTCTCTGCCCCTAAATTCCTTTACTCCTGGTCCTCTCTGTCTTTTTTCCTATCATCTCCATGCTGATATTAACTACATTTAAGCAGAAAACCAATATGATTTAATCAATCTCCTGTATTGTGTGAATTACTGATGACTTTTATTTGGCAAAGGTATTTTTTTCTCTTAGAATTTCTGTCCTCTTTGGGGATCCCTGGGTGGCTCAGCGGTTTGGCGCCTGCCTTTGGCCCAGGGCGTGATCCTGGAGACCCGGGATCGAGTCCCACATCGGACTCCCTGCATGGAGCCTGCTTCTCCTTCTACCTGTGTCTCTGCTTCTCTCTCTCTGTCTCTCATGAATAAATAAATAAAATCTTTTTTAAAAAAAATTTCTGTCCTCACAAATGGGAGTGAAATAAACATTATGGAAGCAAACAGTGTTCAGGTCATATGTATCTTTTCAGAAGCTGTGCTCAGAATTGGCTTTCCTTGGCTTAACTCTATTCAGCAAATAATTCTAAGCATCTACTGGACATAAGACAGTGATCCGGGGAATACAAGCATCTCTGGATAGTGAAGACACAAATTCCATTTCAGTTGACCTGAAAAAGTAGACTTTTTAAATTATAAGATATGAAAACAATGCCAAATCAACAGAAATAAAGAAATTTCTAGTTTTTCATTTAAGAAAAAAAAGCACTCTGGGTGAGAGAATCAGAGAGAGTGCCATCAAGGAAACAAGTGGGTCTTAGAAGGTAGTGTTTAAATAGTCAGGGATGGGGAATATGAGGTACAAGCCATTCCAGCAACCAACATTACTGAATACCTATGGCATGCCACACACTGATGTTTGAGATTTAGATCCTGTCTGTCCCTTCTTGAAACTCTCAGAAGAAACTATATAACACTATATATATACACACACACACACACACACACACACACACACACACACACACACTACTAGAGCACAGGAAAAGCAACTATCCCACCCAGGAATGTCAGGAAAAACTGCACAGAGTGGTCAGGGTCCTGAAAGATCTGTAAAGATTAAAGGACAATTGGAAAAAGAATAAGAATTTTAAGCAGAGGAAACAACAGTATGAAAAAAAAGAATAGTGCATTTAGAGAACAGCTGGTAGCTCAGTGCTGCTACCCAAGTTGTGAGAAGGCACAACAGATGAATCTCAGACTAAGAAGGGTTCAAGAATGACCTTAGTCAGAAATGTTAATGAAATAGATATTTCCTCTTTACGTGACAGGGAAGCATTTGAGAATTTTAAAATAAAGAGTTAAGTACTGGAATGGAAGTTTCAGAAGATTGTTTACAGGTACCTTAGGGAAAAATGAAAGCACGAAACCAGTTAGGAATCAGTTATACAAAAAATGAAGTTCTGGTGTGGCTGGGTGGCTCAGTTGGTTAAACATCTGTCTTCAGCTCAGGTCATGATCTGAGTCCTGGGATTGAGTCCTGGGATCCAGCCCTGCATTGGGATCCCTGCTCAGTGGGGAATCTACTTTTCCCTCCCTCTTCCTCTGTCAAGTACATAATATCTTTTAAAAAAATTAAAAAGAATGAAGATATGAACCAAGATAGTGACATAGCTACCAAGATCAATAGCTGACTTAAAAGACAGTTCAGACAGTCAGTAGAAGCTGATTTGCAGCCCAGGATGATGGTGCTTTTAAAGGCAAGAGAGACCACGGGATGGGGGAAGAGGAGAGGGGTTTTCAGTTTCACAGAATGACAAATTTGAACAAAAACACTTTCTTTTGTCATCTAATTGTAAAAGTAAATCATGTAAAAGTTCCAGGTATCTCAGGAGAGAGCACCAGGGCAGCAAAGGCCAAGGACTCACAAAGAATTCACAGGCTTATCTCCCATTAAGGAAGACATTTGCCCAGCTCTGCTGGACTCAAACTACTTGGGGAACTTACACGCAGCTAAATAGAACAGACCTGAGAAACAAAATAACACAGCGAGCTTGCTTCTGTGCTTTCAGCTTCCCTTCTCCAACTGTTTCCTCTTCATTGGTATCCTAACTCTCACATTGTTCCCTTTTCCATCTCCCCTCTTTCAAAACTATAAAGGATCTGGGCAGCCCATGTGGCTCAGCAGCTTAGCACAGCCTTTGGCCCAGGGTATGATCCTGGAGACTGGGGATCGAGTCCTGCGTCAGGCTCCCTGCATGGAGCCTGCTTCTCCCTCTGCCTGTGTCTCTGCCTCTCTCTCTCTCTCTCTCTCTCTGTGTGTGTGTGTCTCTCATGAATAAATAAATAAAATCTTTTTAAAAAAAACTATAAAGGATCTGACAACCATTAATATATTATCATAAATCAATATATACTATGTTAAGTAGCATTCCAGGGCATGTGCTTTTAAATCACTTTTCTCTAAATACAGAATAAAATGTC